CCGGTATGATGGTCCATCGGCATCCCCTATCACCTTGAGAACTTCCCAGGGTCCTAGATAGACAGGCATCAGTTTCTGAGAAACATCCTCTTCTATAGTGAATTCTTTGGACTTAACCCAGACCAAGTCACCAACTTGAAAAGTAGACGGGCGTCGGTGTTTGTTAGCTTGTTCAATCATGCGCTCTTGGGTTTTCCTCAGATTCTCCTTCACCTTTTTTATGTCTTCTTAAAACATAATGGCATATTCCTTTGTCCCTGGTGGAAGTCTAAGAAATTGATCCCTGGTTGGAACATCGGGACGCTTAGGCTTCCAGCCTTTATGCAGTGCATTAGGTGTGCGTCCCGTAGCGGTATGCGCACTATAGTTATAGGCACCAGCAATCTTCGGTAAGTTCTCGTCCCTGTCTATTTGGTCAGGACGGACATACATTCTCAGAAGTTGTTGGACTAAACGGTTCATTTGCTCAGACTGTCCATTCGTTTCAGGGTGTCTACCTGACGACATGGTGAGCCGGGTACCGTAGGCTTCCATCAATTTCTGCCAAGGCATGCGTGTGAATCTGACATCGTGGTCAGAGACAATAGACATAGGAAACCCATATTCAGTTACCCATCGTATCTGAAATTTAGCAATCACAAGCTCAGTCTTGGCTTCCGCAGGCAAGGGTATGAACGTGGCATATTTAGAGAAACGATCAACCACAACCATAACTTGACTATTGCCATTTCGGGACTTGGTGAGTTTCATAAAGTCAATGGATACAGACTCACCTGGCTCACTCGGTATAGGTAGTGGTCGGAGTAACCCCAAAGGTTTCTCAGTAGTTGGTTTGTTTCTCTGACATACTTGGCATGTACGAACATATGTTAGCACATCCTCTTTCAAACCCTTCCATTCATAGTGCTCACGTACTTCAGCATACGTCTTCTTGAAACCAAAGTGTCCCTCTGTGTCATGACATTCCCCAATCAGCAGACTTTTAAGTTCTTCCTTGTGAGGAATGCATAATCTCTGTCCAGTTTGGTCCAACAAGAAGAGTAAGCCATCAGACAATCGGTAGTGAGGAAGTTGGGATGGATCCTTGGCTAGGATATCCCTGATTGGTTTCCAGACAGGGTCAGTGGCATATCCAGCGCGAATTTGAGCTTTCACATCATTCCCAACATCCAGGTAAGAGACGATAGCCCTAAAGAAGTCACTCCTCCTAGATAGTGCGTCCGCTACAACATTAGACTTACCTTTAATTGTTTTGAGTTCGAAATCAAAGGTATCAATAAAACCAGACCAACGCACCAACTTGTCAGACAATCAAGGTTGTGTTTTTATCCACTTTAGAGTCGAGTGGTCCGAGTACACAGTGAAGTGTCTGCCAAGGAGATAGTGTTTCCACGTTTCTAGGGCACAGACTAATGCATATAACTCCCTTTCGTAGGTGGAGTTGGCGACTTTTTCGCACGGCAGTCGTTTAGACATAAACTCAATAGGGCGCTAGCCCTTGCCGTCGTCTTGTTGTAAGACAACGCCAACACCATACTGACTTGCGTCAGTCGTAACAATGAAAGGAAGAGACGGGTCGGCAATCTTGAGGACAGGATAGTGAGTTAGAGCATATTTCAGCTTTCGGAAAGACAAATCACAATCCTTATCCTATAGCCAGACAGTACCTTTCTTAAGCAACCTTCTCATTGGTGCAGCGATAACAGAAAAGTTTCTAACGAACTTCCTATAGTTACTCGCCAAACCAAGAAAAGATCGAAGGTCTGTCAGAGTCTTTGGCTGCGCCCAATCTCTGATCGCCGAGATCTTCTTTTCCTCAGGCCTCAATCCCTCCTCGTTCACTATATGTCCCAAGTATAGGACCTCAGACTTAGCGAACTCGGATTTCTTTGGGTTGAGTTTTAAGTTACCCTCGCGTAACTTCCCGAGTACTAGACGTAGATGTTTCTGGTGATCGTCTAGTGTTTTACTATATACTAGAATATCATCCAGATAGACGATGACGAAGTCATCGAGCCATTGCTTGAACAACTCGTTCATGGACCTTTGGAAGGTCGCAGGTGCGTTCGTTAGACCAAATGGCATCACGATGAACTCGTAATGACCATATCTCGTACGAAACGCGGTCTTATGCTGATCGGCCGGATCCACCTCGATCTGGTGGTACCCAGACTTAAGTTCGATCTTACTAAAGACCTTACAACCCTGCAAGTGATCCAAGAGATCGTCGATCCTTGGCAAAGGTTCGGCGTTTTTTACGGTGACGGCATTCAACCCTCGGTAATCGATGCAAAGGCGCAACTCACCTTCCTTTTTGGGCACAAACAAGACAGGTGCGTCATAAGGAGAGGAGCTAGGGCGAATCCATCCCTTCTCCGTCAACTCAGACAACTGCTTCTTTAGTTCCTCAAGTTCCCTTGGAGACATGCGATAGATAGGGCCCTTGGGAACCTTGCTACCTGGCACGATCTCGATCGTGTGCTTGATAGCTCGCGAAGTGACCCCGGTAGGCTCAGACATAATATCGGCAAACTCCGTTAGGAGTGCATCTATGCCAGGAGGATGGGTAGTTGAAGACTCTCTTACTTTCTTAACTAACAACATTACTACCTCATCCTCTAACTTCTTCTTTGCAACCATCGATCGGAATGCAGGGTAGCTCATGCAACAGAAAGACAAGACAGAATCAGACCCTGACCGATGATACAACTTAATTGATTGCAATTCAGACGATTCATCCTTGATTCGTACTTCTTTCTGTTTGAAATCAATCTTGGGATCAGCTTCCTCGTGCCAATCCATTCCCAAGATGATATCAAATGGCATGTTATTCTCGATTAGGAAGGGAAGCTCATGCCAAATCTTWTTCCCATCCTTAGTACTAAACTGACATCGAACACGATCGACGTACTGCGTTACCGTCATCGTGCTTTTGTCATCCAACATAGACGTGATTGGTCTAGCTAACATTTGGATCTTCATGCCGAGGTGCAACTTGCGGATTGCACGTTCAGACATGTAAGATCGTGTGGACCCAGGGTCCAGCATCGCACCAACGTGTGTGCTATTGACAACCAAATCGGCAATCAATAGTTCCCCTTTAGACTTGGCTTTCTTTGCCCACGAACTGCGTAACGCGACTAGCTCGCTACCCAGCTCGTTAAGGGAGTCGTCCAGAGACAGACATAAGACAGGAGTGGGGATATCTGAACGACGGGCGGAAGGGTTTCCATCCTCTGCCACGGGAGTCGGAGTGTGGAAAGGGATCGTAGGCGCCTTGCATGTAATCGCACTCTTCGACTCTGTAGGAACAGATGTTATTCCTACTGGCTGCTCCCTTTTGAATTCCTAATCAACGGACAAAAGGCAATGACATGCCCCGCAGTGCCACATTTGAGGCACTGCGCATTATCCAYTCTATCTTGYCACACCTCCYGGGKTAKTMYCATCTTCAGCCACGGTCTGCCGGCCGCAATCCCAGGATGGTATGGGAAGGAGCGTGGTCTTCCCTTCGGTCGAGTGTTCGATGACGGTCTCCCTTGTTGACCGTCGCAGCGGTGATCTCCCCCTTTCCGGAGTCACTGTTGCTCTCACCACCACCCTCGGACTCCAATGGCCATTTCTCCATTGTATCGTCATCGAATACGACGAGGGTGTGGTCTTGGCGCTTTTGACGCCATATGACCCGCTTGTCGTAGCCTCCTCGACCGCCTCCTCCTCCATTCTTTACGGTAGCAGCATAGGAACCTTTGACTTGCGAAGTCATTTGTTCCCGCTGCAATGCAAGGTCGCGGAACTGGCGGTAGGTATACTTACCTGACTTGGCCTCGGCGACCAAGTGCCCTCGTATCGGTTCGGGCAACGCGTGGGAGTAGATATAAAGGACCTGAGAGTCCTGCAGGTTAAGGCCAGGAACCTGCAACAGCCGGTCCACCTCACGAGACAATGACTTAACGGAAGACCAGGACTTCTGTCCTATCAAGGTGAGTTGGTCGAAGGCCTTATCGGCCGTGGTCTTGTCCAAGAAGCGGTCCTTGACCTTTGCGAGGAACTGCTTCAAGGTCATAGTCTTCGCCCACTCACCTATATCGTCAAACCCCGCGGCATTCGCCTCCGCCAGAACCCACTGCTTCACTTCACCACCCATACAAGAAGTGGTGAACGCAACTTGCGACTCTTCTTCTACCGGTGCAGTCCCAACATAGGTCTGG